TTTAATTCTTTTTTTTCTTTTATGATGCTTTTATTTTTATATATATATATAAAAAAAATGTGTGTGTATGTGTATATGTATATGTGTGTATGTATATGTGTGTATGTGCGTATGTGTGTGTATATCTATATATAAATATAAATATAAAAATAATGTGTGTATATGTATATATATGTATATGTCAGCACCTAAAATGAAAATACAGATCTTGACATTTAAAAGCATGACAAAAGCTGTGGCAGCTATGATTTTTTTGGCTCTGTAGTTGTGATGTTCCTCATTTATGTTATCATCATATAAAATTTACCAAATTTACCAAAAAAGGGGCACCTGGTCATGCCTAGAAGTTAGAACCGCACAGTGCTGGGCACACAGGATAAAAGCAGTTCCCTCCCCAGAAAGTAGAAAGTCTGAAGTAAATATTTCAGTTTCCTGTTGGCCACTTCACCCTTGTGCTGTGTTGTGTCTATTGAAGCCTGTGGTACTCTTAGTTTAGAGTCATCCTGGCTCTGGCTCTGCCTTAGCTTGCAATGTTCAGCAAGTCCACTTGACAAGCAACATCCCCCGCAGAGATAACAAACCCACGTGAATTGTTAGTAATATTATACAGGGGCAGCTTTGCAGCATGGCTACCAGCTTATCGAATGCTAGGCCATGGACAACGAAGGTCTGGATGTGGTGGAGAAGCATACAAGGTGACCCCCCACTGTTGTCTGGTCCCCAAGGGGATAACAGCTTACGACTGCTACCAACTAAATGGAATGATCCTGTACTTCTATCTGTGCTGTGTTGATGAAGGTCCTAGGCTGAAACCTCCTCAGGAAGGTCACTACCACTATAAGGGAGGGGGCTTCGATGCTGGGAATGCCCCCCTCCACAGTCAATAGCAAAGACCAAGCTTGATGATCTGTAAGGTACCTTCCAGCCCCTAACAGCTACGAACCTATAAGCCATCTCAGTGCATCCCTCCAGCCTTTGGAGTTACAGAGCAAGAGAGAGACCAAAAGGGGGTGGAAGAGATGCAAAAGAGCTGATGAATTACAGGGAAGCAGGGTGGCAGATCCAGAAAGTGGAGACTGTGCAGAAGAAGCCTGTCATGCTAACAGTGGAGGCCAGATGAGAGGCTTGGCTTGGGTTTAAAAAAAAAAAAAAATTCCATAATTGAAACCAGACTGGCAACTTCCTTCCCCCACTGCAGTCAATCAATTAGGAAGCAATTTTGGAGTGCCTCGTGAATAGCCATCCCTTGATGAGTCTGTCATTAGCACTATTCACATCTGATTTGTTGGGGTATTAGCTGCTCGTGGCTACAGTCCAGGACAGCAAACAGACAATGCCTGCTTTCGGAAAACATATTACTTACAGTAAGTGTTTGCTCTGCAGTGCACAGTGCATGACAAGTGCAGCAGAGCGAACCTGTTTTGAGGAACTGGCTCCAAATTTCATCCTGGTGCTGCTTTATTTGCTGGGCAGCAGCTTGGCGAGCAGGCGATGATGAGGTTAGGTGTCCAGATGCCTCCCCTGAATCCCCATGAAGAGAGTGAATCTCTTGGTTGGTTTTTTCCCCACCCCACCTTTGCCTTTATGCATTCCTTTCGTCTTTAAAGGACCAGGAGATATTATGGCAACGAAGGGCCTTTTTGCATTTATATGGCGTATTTTTCAGTTGGTGTCTCAGCACCCATGCAGTATTCTGGCTCGTTCTCCTCTCCATCCCTCCATCTCTTTTGCTTTAAGACAGTAAGACCTGCGGTCCTGCTCCAAAGCCTAGTGAATTGGATTGCAGCCTTCGTATTGATTTTCAATGAGCTGTCACACCCGCCTCATGCATTACTGAAATATTTTGCTATTTCTGATTCTGATGCTCTCGGTCTCTTTCCAGAATATTTCCAATCTCAGCTCCTGTCGTTTTCCCCTAATCTGGATTACCACAACCCCGACATCCCCGAGTGGAGACAAGACATTGGCAGGGTCATCAAGGGAGCTCTTCTGCAGGTGAGCTGCCCTGCAGGTGAACACCTGGCTCCTGTTCTTCTTCCCAAGCAATGAAGCATCCATTGAAATGCAGGGTGTTTTGTAAAAGCCATTGTCAAAGGCGGGGAAAGAAAAGTAATTATGAAGCCATCATTTTGCAGTTGTCACCAACAGCTTGGCAATACCCAGAGCTATTGTAGAGCAGAATACGCTAGAGATTTTGTTCAAAATGTTTGAATCTTACCGCTATTAATGTTTCTATAGTGTTTTTCAACGTTAAATACTTCAAAGAATGTATTCTCTCCTTCCCCTCCCTCTCGCCATCCATCCTTCAATCCATCCCTATTTGCAAAGTGGATAACGAGATATTTTTTACGGGTTTTTTTGTCCCAAGCAGTTGAGTGGTGCTGCTGTATATGTTCAACAGCTGTCATGTTCCACTCGGTAGGAGCCTGATAGGTCATGAGAGAGAGGGAAATCTTTTGAACTGCCATCGGTACGAAGACTCTCAATGGAAAGGAGCACAGCTGCTGTTGAACAGCACGTAGCACCAGTCTTCAAAGGTTTAGGACAGAAAGTGAAGAATGTCTTAGCCTATTAAAACAGCAAGGGAAGCAAAGGATGCATCGAGTTAGAGACAGGAATGATCCTGCCTTAAGCACGACATCGGAGTAGATGACCGCTTGAGATATTCCCAGCCCCCTTTTTCTACGACTCCATGATCTAATGATTTTGTAATGAAGTGTCATTTGTATTTGACCAAGGCGTGTGAGTTAACGTTCCCAAAGTCTTGCCAAAAAGAACGAAAAAAGACAAGCGGTGGGGAATAATTCATTAATGGTGTCAAGCAGCCAGTGGCTTTGTTTTTGGTGTCTCATCAGAAGATAGATCAAAGCAAAAATTCGTGGCTTTAATGGACACAGAGCATGTAGTTTTGTTTCAAATTTATTTGCCACTGCTGCTGGTGGAAACAGAGGTGGGGATTTTTGTCTTTTTTTTTTTTTTTACAGGCAAAAGACATTTGTGTTTGACTTTTCTTCTCTGCAACAAAAGCATGTTGGTATTCACAGTTTGGG